AAAAATAGTTAAATTAGCCTTGTTTTTATCCTTGTATAAGATTTTCCTATTTTAGCCTTGTAAAAGAAACCTATTCAAAACTTATGAAACTCGCCAGATTTCCTTATTGATTTTGATTAACGATAGAAATAAAAAACAATATGAAAATCCTCTGAATTTTAATAATAATAGCTATTGCCTAATTTTAGAATGGGGAATCTGTTTTGGTCTTCACCGGCAAAGTTAGCCCAGAAAAATGACCCTGACTAAAGGAAGACCATTCACGGTCGAAGCAGGCAAAAATGGAGCTAATCTATTAATAGATTATGCGATTGAGGTAAAATAAGTTATATTAGACTATCATGAAGAAATCATTAATTGTCAAGAGTAATATTTCTGAAATTAAAAGAGTTTGTGAGGAAAGAGGAATAAATTACGAAATTACGCCGAGTAATTCCCAAATTTACCCAGCAAAAAGTCCTAGCAAACCCAAACCAAAAATCACTGACTAACAATTAAAAGAATCCTATCAAAAACTAGCCAAAAGTAAAAATTACAAAAAGGAAATGCAACTGTGAGATGCTCTCGAAGAAGATGAGTAAACCACCAAAAGTAATTGAATATCATTCGGTTTACTGAGTTAAATTAAGAAAAGGAATTGGCACTGAAATCTATAAAACTCGTCCTTGTGTAGTCATGAGTAATAATTGACAAAATACCTTAGGCAAAAGAGTAGTTATTATTCCTTTTACTACTACTCCTATGCCGGATATTCCTTGCCAAGTAAAAATTTCTCCAGAAGAAACTTTTATTCCCCATAAATTTTATACTTTATAGTTTTACAATCAACTTATTAACTTGTTTTTAGTGGTTATTATATAAAATAAAATTATGGAATTGCCTCTTAATAAAGCAGTAATGGAAGGAAACTCGCCAACTCCTTCGGCTGCTCTCTTAGCCATAAGCCAATCATGCTTTCGTACTGACCTTCCCGTTTTACAAATTGGCGACAAAGTGGAAGTTATTACCAAAAATTTTAATAAAAATGAAAAAGAAAAATACCGCCTCACCCACTTTAAAGGGGTCATAATTAGCCAAAAAAATAGCGGGCAAATTAGTTATACTTTCTCCGTATTAATGGAAAGCAAAAGGGTAGTAATCAGGAGCGTTTTTTCTTATCATTCTCCGCTGCTAGTAAGTATTAAAAAGTTGGGGAAAATTAATCAAAAAGTTCGCCGAGCTAAATTATATTATTTGGAAAGAGAATTAGCCAAAAAAAAAGATAGAGAATAATAATGGTTCCCACAAACTTCCTACTGGGAGAGTTAACCAAAAAAAGAATATTGCGACAACTTATAATTTATTTTGCTTCAAGGTTTATTTTCTGCGAAATAAAACAAATCCATCAGGGGTAATTTCGGCATTGTTTTTTAAAGTTTTTTTGCTAATGTGTCGACCCAAAAATTTTTTTTGTAATTTTTCTAAATCTTTCAAAGTTAAACAGGTGTTGTTAATTCTTTTCGCAATCTTTGCTCTGTTTCCCACTTTTACTTTTTTAAACTGTTCCAATAATTTTTCTAACTGCTGAAAAGTTGCTAAATAAGCGGGCAACTCCTCTTTTTTTATTTCTAATTGGATTTTTTGGGCTAGCGTGATTAATTCTTTTTCTTTCATTATTATTACTCTACAAAAAATGAGCATCTATTTTTAACTAATTTTATAATCAAAATAGTGATTTCTCTCAGTTTTCTAGTAAGAGAGAGAATAATTAAATAAAACTTTTAGCCTCAATTTTTATTATTCTATGGTGTTTACTGCTATTTCTCAGAACCAAATCAATTATTTCCGCGATTTCTTTAAACTCTTTTTTTCCTAATCTGCGGGTCGTTAGAGCCGATGAACCTAGACGAATGCCACTGCTAATTCAGGGCTTTTCCGAGTCATAAGGTATCATTTGTTTATTACAGATAATCCCCACTTTTTCTAATATTTTGGCGGCTTCTTTGCCAGTTAAATTATAACTTGTTTTAGTATCAATAGTTAATAAATGAATTTCGGTGCCGCCACTAATCACCTTCACTCTTTTTTCGCAAAAATAATCGGCCATGGTCTTCGCATTTTCTAAGACCTTTTTTTGATAATTTTTAAAATTGGGTTGTAAAGCCTCGTAAAAGCATTGGGCTTTGGCGGCAATAATGTTAGGGGATGGTCCACCCTGATTACCGGGAAAAACTGCTTTATCTATTTTTTCTCCTAATTCTTTTTTGGCTAAAATTACTGCTCCGCGGGGCCCCCGTAAGGTTTTATGAGTGGTAAAAGCAATGACATCCGCATAAGGAACAGGATTGGGAAATAAACCGGTCGCTACTAAACCAGCAACGTGAGCGATATCAGCCAGCAAATAGGCCCTCACCTCATCCGCAATTTCTCGAAACTTGGCAAAGTCTATTTGTAAACTATAACTACTATAACCAGCAATGATTAATTTAGGTCGGACTTCTTGGGCTATTTTTCTAATTTGCTTGTAGTCTAATCGTTGGGTGTTAGGGTCTAAATTATAATAATAAGTCGAGTAGATAATTCCCGAAAAATTAACTTTGGCTCCGTGAGTTAAGTGCCCGCCAGATAAGAGATTTAAACTTAATATTTTATCGCCTGGCTGCAAAAGTGCTAAATAAACAGCTTGATTGGCTTGGGAACCGGAGTGGGGTTGTACATTAGCATACTCAGCACCAAATAATTTTTTTACTAATTCGATAGCCAAATTTTCTATTTTATCAATATATTTACAGCCTTGATAATAACGATTACTGGGATAACCTTCAGCATATTTGGTCATTAATAACGAACCGCTATAAAACAAAACCTTTTGCGAGGGATAATTTTCACTAGCAATTAGATTTAAAGTATTTTTTTGGCGCTTTAATTCTTGTTGGTAATAATAATTAAGAGGGAATCTACTCATATTATTTGTTTTCACCAATTAATTTTTTAAAGCTTGGAATGTAATTACTCGGCATATTTGGCTATTACAATGTAATATTTAGTAAGTATTTTTTTATGCTTCGTTTTTTTCTTCTGTAAAGATAGGTAAAGTGTGCCCTTTAACTAACTCTACTCAGGCTTTTTTTTTTAATTTAGTATAAATCTGACTAGGGGCTTTTTGTAAATAACGAGTTTTTTGCAAAACTGGTTTTTGCCGACTAGTGCGAACTTTTTTAACTTTTACTTGAAACATATCCTCCACGGCCTTTTTAATTTGATACTTATTAGCCGCTGGGAACACATAAAAACCATAAACTTTATTTTTTTGGTAAATTAATTGCCCTTTTTCGCTGAGAAGAGGCTTTTGAATTAACATAACTTTTTTTATTAATAATATATTATAGTTTTATTTATCTTTTTTCTCCTTTTTAGTACTCATAATAACTTATTTTACTCTGCTAATCAGTCTACTCTTAATATCTTTTAACACTTGAATAATAGACCTCGTAAGACAAAACCAAAAACGGTTAGTAAACTGAGACCAATCAGATATCAAAAAGGGCGAAAGCCATTAATACTGAGACCTTGCCACATGGTCATTACTTGGGCGAGAAAATTACCTATTCATTTAATTTTTACTGCTTCATTGCCTTCTGCTTCCTGATTTTGAGTTTTTTTTTTGGAGGTAAGAGGTAATAAGTAATTCCACCAATAACTATTGGAGTTACTACCACTGGAACAATTATTTTAGCAGGTTAGAATTAATTATTGGAAGGGGAATTAATCGGAGGAAGGTTAGTGGGGTAAATTATTAAACTAGAACTACTGGCGGTTGTTGAGGTTAAAGGAAAAGGATTTTTATCGGCTGATCCTGGTCAAGAGGCTGGTCATTGGAGAAAACAACTTTCATTAAATATTACTATTAAGACTATGACATGTTCAACCTCCATTATCTCAATCACAGAAACCATCACAAGGACTACTATTCAGGAAATCATAAAAAGCATAACTATTATTTATACCAGTAAAATTGCTGACAGGAACGGCGTCTATATAATCAACTATAGGAGTAAGAATAAGCATTATACCCCGCTGTACAATTACCCAAAGTATTATTTCTACACTATGCCTGAACCTTTGTATAGATATGAAGAGGATGGTTAATTCAAAGCTTAATAAAAAAAATTAACAGGCAAATATTATCTTATCACTGGTATTTCCCATAATGTGGGTAAATAGTTAGTTGTGGTTCTTTAGTAGTGATGGTGGCTTTGCACATAATATTAACTTTATTACTATTTTTTTTAAAAAGTGTTAATAATTTTTTGTATCATTTGATAAGTTTTTTCTAGCTTTTCCTCTGCTTGGTGATAAATAAGTATATAGCCATCGGTCTGAACTTCAATGGTAGCCCCTGTTTCCTCGGTTAATTGATTAATAGTTTTACCCCGGGTTCCAATAATTAAGCCAATTTTTTCTGGGGCAACCATAAAGCGCCGACATTTAATAACTTGGGTTGCTAAGTGCGGGCGCGGGTGAAAAATATACTTTTTCATTTCTTCCAACAAATAAAAGCGGGTTTGGCGGGCTTTTTCCAAACACTCGGTTAATAATTCCTGACTAATTCCTTGGTTTTTGACATCTAATTGGACTGAGCAAATGCCTTTTTCCGTGCCGGCAATTTTAAAATCCATTTCACCCAATTTATCCTCTAAACCATTAATATCACTATAAGTCTGACCTTCGAACAAGCCTAAGGCTATTCCGGCGGCGGGTCTGATTAAGGGAACCCCCGCGGTCATTAAAGCCAAAGAAGTAGCACAAATGGAGGCTTGGGAAGAAGAACCATCCGAAGCAAGAACTTCCGAAACTACGCGAGTGGTATAAGGAAAAACACTGCTTTGAGGGATAAGATAATCAAAAGTTTTTTCCACCAATTCGCCATGACCGATTTCCCGGCGGGAAACAGCCCGATAACTAGCAATTTCATTAACGGAAAAGGGCGGAAAATTATAATGGTGAATAAAGTGCTTATAAGAGCGATTAAAAATATTATCAACTAATTGTTTTTCACTGATTTTCCCAATGGCTACTACTGAAAGAACTTTGGTTTCGCCGCGGGCAAATACCGCACTGCCATGAACATTAGGCAAATAATCAATCTGGATTTCCAGGGAACGGATTTCCTGAGCAGAGCGACCATCTAACCGCACTTGTTTTTCCTGCCACAGTTTCCGCATTCAACGGCGTAAGCAGTTGTCTCAACATTGCTCTACTAAACCTTTAATATATATTTCTTCCAAGTGGAGATTTTTTTCGCAATATTTCTTAGTTAAATCTTGCCGAACCTCTTTCATTTTTTTTTCTTTTTCTAGCCACGAGATATTTGGCGTTAAAAGAATTTTTCCTAAGTGGTAATTAGCCTTTTCTCCTAATCATTTATCTGCTCCACTTTCCTCTGTGGCTTTTTCTTCCATTTTCTCCTTTTTCACTCCTAAACTGTTAGCAATGTGCTGAAAAAAGCCAATTAATAACTGGATTTCTTGGTGGGCTAATTTTATCGCTTGTTGTAATTTTTCTTCTCTTATTTCTTGGGCGCCCGCTTCTAACATAATAATCTTTTCTTCGCTCGCACTAACAATTAACTCTAATGGTGAATTATTTAATTTTTCCTGGCTCGGATTACAAATAAACTTGGTCTCTTCTTGACCGATAATCACAGCCGCCAAAGGTGTATGAAAAAAAGGCAAATTAGGGGCAAGATAACAAACCAAAAAAGAGTTTCAAATAGCCACTACTCGCGGGTCGCAGTCCGAGTCGAGGGAAAGAACATAATTAGTTATTTGCACTTCCTGCTGACCGACTAGCGGAAAGAAACTTCGTAGCGAACGGTCAATTAAGCGAGCAGAAGTAATAGCATCATAACTGGGCTTGCCTTCCCGTTTCGTAAAAACATTAGGGATTTTCCCAATTGCGTAAAACTTTTCTTCGAAAGTAATAGTTAAGGGGAAAAAAGAGTTAATAATTTTTGTTAGTGGCTTGACGGTTAAAACTGTTAAAATAGTGGTATTACCATAGCGACAAATTATTGATTTATCACTTTTGGTAGCCAACTGGTCAATTTCAAATATTACTTTTTTATTTTGTCAATCAAACTCAAACTGGTTTTTTAGTGGCTTAGAAAAATTATTTTCACTCATGCTATAACCATTATTTTAACCATATTTTACTATTAATAACAAGTGTTCTTGTCGGAAAAATAAAGTTGGGGCAATTTTACACTACCCAAAATATATTCAGTTATCCCCATTTTCAGGAATGATTTACCAAAGCCTTAAAAGAAAGTAATAATCAAGTGCTTGAACCCTTTGCTGGCTCCAACAATCTAATTAAAATGCTCCAACGATGAAGGATACAAGTTTGAATTTACTGCTTATGATATAAATCCTAGTTCCTCAGAAGTAGAAAAAAAAGACACGATAAAAGAATTCCCCCTCGGCTACAAGTTAATTATTACCAATCCTCCTTATTTAGCTAAAAACTCAGCTTGTCGAAAAAAAATTGCTTTTCCTACTACCGGACATGATGATTTATATAAATTGTGTTTAGAAATAATGTTAAAAAACTGTGATTATGTGGGAGCCATTATCCCAGCTTCCTTTATTAATGCAGGGTTGTTCCAAGAAAGATTACATTCTTACACACTTGTTAAGTAGTCAAATGTTTACGGATACTGAAAACCCCGTTTGCTTGGCTTTATTTTGCCCTTCAAGGGAAACTTTGTTTTCCCCGCAAAAGTCTCATTTTATTTATCTTTATGAAAATGAAAAGTATGTAGGAGAATTATACTCATTAAAAAAAGAATTAGCCCGAATTCTTGCCAACTCTGCACCAAAAAATTGCGAAATTAAGTTTAATGATAAAAACGGCAATATTGGTTTATGTGCGATTGATAATACACGAGTTCCCTCGATTGCCTTCATTGACGCTCAATTAGTTCCTAGTCAGAAAATAAAAGTTAGTTCGCGTCATTTAACCCGAATATCGATTAAAGAGAAAGTGGATTTAGATTTATTAAATAAAAAGTTAGCCCGAATTAGAGAGTTTACCCAGGATTTTTTTTTAACTCCTTTTCGGGGTTTAAGAAAAGATGGTAAATTTCGTCGCCGTTTAGATTTTCAATTGGCAAGAAAAATTATTATTTCTTCTCTTTTTGCAACAAACAACGACTAATAATGATAAATTGAAAAGAAAAACTTAAAGAACGAATTAAAAAATATATTAAAAGACATTAGTTAGAAATTAATCTTACTTTGTGGGTTTTTGTTGGAAAGTGTCTCAAATACTTAAAATTACTTAATAATCGCGCTTATAGTTCAGTGGACAGAATATTTGATTGCGGTTCAAATGGTCGGAGGTTCGATTCCTCCTAAGCGCACCAATATTTTTAGAAAATTTATTTGGTGAAAAAGAAAGAAGCGAAATCAAATAAACTAAAAAACTTAATATGAAAGTATCTCATTTTCGACAAAAAGTTTATAATTGCTGTTCCCAAATCCCAAGTGGGCAGATATCCACTTATAAGGGTATCGCTCAGTTTCTCAATATTTCGTCGCGAGTAGTCGGGCAAGTTCTCAAAAATAATCCTTATTTATCAGAAAAAGTTCCCTGCCACCGGGTTATTGCTTCTAATTATTTTATTGGCGGATTTCGGGGCGAATGGGGAGAAGGAGAGAAAATTAGAGAAAAGAAAGAAAAATTAGCCAGTGAGAGAATATTTTTTGACGAAAAAGGCTATTTAGTAAAAAGTTTACGTGGTAAAGTTATTTTTTCCGATTTTCAGCCTGATTTATAAAGACAATATTCTAATTTCAGGAAAGTTCTTGAAGAAACATTACTAACTATTAATAAATTATCATCTAAAATTTAAATTATTAAAAAAAATATGAATTACGAGTATTTTCCGTGCTTTCATTGCAAAAAAGGTCGATACAGCACATATATTCCTGACAATTATACCGGCAGTCCTCCTATTCGCACAATTTGTAGTAGTCCAGAATGTCGAGAAGCTGAGAGAAAGCAAAAAGAGGATGATGAAATTAGACACCAACAATGAAATGAGGAAAATCAAAGAAAATGAGATGAGCATTTTTATCAGCAAATAATAGATGCTATTGACAACGCTTTTAAATTAAATAAAGTAGATGTAAAATTTAATAAAAAAAACTTGCCAAGAAAAGATGGTTATGTTTCTTCTTGGGATACAACTATTGATGAGGCTATTAAAGATATTGGAAGTCCTGATATTAAATCTGATTTAGAAAAACTCTGAAATCAAAAAAAACAAGAAATATTAAACAAAGAGCAACAAAAAGAACAAGATTATCAAAGCTTAAAAGAAGCGATTGAAGATGATCCTCTTATGTCAGAGGCGGTAATTGATAGCAATGAACAATTAGAGGTAATTACTAAAACCCAAGCCCAAGAGCTAAAAAGACTTTTAAAAAAAAGAGAAAAAGAATTTTTAAGTTGACGAGATTTTAATCTTTGAGTAGAAGAGTTAAAAAGTAAAGAAGAACAATCAGCAATCTCCCCCGAAAAAGAATTATTAGAACCTGAAAAAAGTTTGCTAAGTAAAGTTAAAAGTGTAATTAAATCTGCCCGCCAAGCAAAAGAATTTATTGCTTATGCTCAGATTAGGAAAGATGTTAAGTCCCAACAAGAAAGAGATGAGTTAGTAAGGATAAACAAAGAGAATGTGCAAAGAATCGTTGAACGAAATAGTAGTGAATGAGAGAGAGAAAAAGAAAAGTGAATAAGCAAAAGAAGTAAAAAAATAGCTGAAGAAATGAAAAATTTCTCTCTTGCGGAATTAGCCGAAGAGATATTGAATAGTTCTAAATCTAATAGTCAGTTCACACAAGATCAATCAAATAACAACCGAACCATTATTAATCTCCCTACTGCGGAAGAAATTAACGAACAATATCAAAAAGACTCTGAAAGAGAAGAAATTATTAACTCTCCTATTTTAAAAAAGCCCGAAGAAAAAGTTCAAGTCCAAGAATATTTAAAAAAAATTGTCGAAGCCGAAATTTTAATCAAAATAAAGAGATTTAGTGCCGCGGTTCTCCAAAAATTAAAAGAAATAGCTACTAAGCCGAAAATTTATCAGTTATTAAACAAAAATAAAAGAGTTGAGCAAGCTGTCTCAGCTTTACAAGGCTTAGAAAAGTCAGCATCAAGTCAACCCACTAATAACAAAGATAATAATCAATACTTAGTTCCTCTTTTGCTTGGTGGCGGGGTAATAGTTTTACTAATTAGTGCTCTGCTAGTGGTTCGGTCTCGTCGTCGTAAGTAATATTATGTTCTACATAATATAAGTAATTTGTCATCTTCAATTTTAAAATGGTAAAATAAGTTATTATGCCCAGAGATAAAGAATTCGAAAAAATATTACAAGCAGCCGAAGACCCCAAAAATATCGGTCAAGGTTCTTGGGACTTACCCGTTAATCCAACCCCTTCCCAGTTAGTTAAATATGAACTCTGTGAGAAAATATTAGGCTATCAGGAGGATAATAATTTATCTACGGAAGAAATAGCCGAAAGAATTAATTTAACTATCCCAGAGACCAAAGACATTCTTTT